TGTTGTAATTGAGAGGCATGTTCACCTCTGATAAGTTTTGCTTGTGGCACGATCCCATCTTTAAAGCCTTTTCTGAGCAAATATTGACAGTAAACAGTACTTCATTATCGTTTTTGCACGAAAAGAACATTAAAAATAAATTCAGTCAGGAAGTACCCGGATAAGTTGTTTGATGTTTAAAGCAGACGACATTTTGTGGGTTTCTATCCAAAATGTTGAGATCACGAAATGAGAACGTTTTGTCCTTTACTCCCATAAGCCTGGAAATAAAAGTTTTGGAGGATCATTGAAAGACGCTTTTCTCATTCTACGACCAGTTATTTAAACTTGATTGTAATGTTTATTTATTTTGGGTCATAATATACAACGTCGCCTGTTGTAAAACACCCATTAGAAACTCGTCAACAATTTACAGACGGTCTGGGGCCATTTAAGGGATCAGGGACAGAACAAATACTATTTTCCAAAAAAAAATGATTTAGTGTCATTTCTGCTTCTTTTCGTGAATATTTTTCATTTACGGAAAGTGCCGACGGTTCCCGATTGATATAATGGATGATTGGTATGCATTGTGTCCATGTAATGAGGTTAGTTTATAGTTAATGTGTCTTGTTTCCATGGTTTATTTATAGTTATTTTTTCAAATCTTTTTGCCTTCGGTTTACCGAACGATCTTATTAATTTCATGACGTCATGCTATACAATGATATGACATTACATTTTAGCATGACCCTTACCGTGAGAAACAGTATTTTTGACAAAACAGACTTTTACATCATTCGCTGGAAAGGTGTGGGAGAAAAGATATCTTCTATGCATGTATGTTGAAGATCGGAAAAATGCCCACCTCGTAACCAATTCCTAATGCCATGGACGGATTTCCCTATTTTCAATACACATATAAAAGCAATTTAATCACTCTTTGGCGGAAACTGACCGTTGACGGAGTTCTTCGATTCATTGCTGTATTGCTATTTTTATTGAAATTAGTTACAAAAAATAGGTTCCCGACATTTCAGCGTCGTTTTAGGCAGTATCACGGTTATATGACGTCATTATTCTATCCTCTTTGTCGTTTTGTTGATCGTTGTTATTTGGGATGTTTTAAAGAAAATTTCAAATGTGTAAGTAAAAAACTGTATGTATGTCATATAGGCAGTAGCATATACTGGTACTGGCCTCTATCTGACGTCAAAGACAGACCTCTTTTTTTGGGCGGACGTATACACATCCATTTGTACGCTATGCTCAATCACGGATGTATTCCTCCGCACAAAAAAACCCTCGTGTCTGCAGTGTCAAACAAAAACATGCCAGTGGTATTGGTTTAAACACATATAAAATTTGGATGTAAAAATACTTGGTACCATAGAACGTCTACCAAAGTCCATGTATGTCGACTTTGAGATATTTTCGATTAACTGACGGGTATTTTTTGGAACCCCAATCATCCCTCTCCCGTAAAACAAAGGGTATATCAATCTCATTTGAATGGGGCAATTAAATGCTTGTTCACAAATATCGCGTAGATTATCACCGGTAGGAAATCTACTTCGGAAGATGTCAATTTTACTTACCCGATACAGCCATAAATAATGGCGTGTGTTTGTATAAGTGTTGACGTCCATTGAACTATCACTAATGGAGATAAAGTTTTGAAATAACTGCTCGCTGATGGCCAAATTGGCTCTGATCCCGTCCGTATTGCAGCTTGGAGCACCAATTTAATACCTACCAGTGGTCATATCTCATGGCTACTTCGAGTGAAAACGTCCCTTATAAACACATAACGCGACATATATACGACTCCGTTTGACAAAAACCCTCGTTTTATACATCACATGTTTTAATCTAAGATATGTTGCGGATTACATTTATCGAATACGTTTCTTTTTGTTGTTTTAGAATTTCTTCCTTGTAAATTGCACAATTAATAACATATTCGTGTATATTTACATAAACACACATAACATCAATATATTCAGGTTTAGAAAATTTATGACCCTTTTTTAATTAAGATTTTGTCTACTTCCTCTATAGTACGTGACCTATCCTGATCGAACTTTCATATTTTCTAACCGCCGGTATGTCTCGCTTTATACAACCGCTTTCGATACTACATCTGCCCGATCTGTCAATTTCATAATTAGATAATTATAATGATGATGTTTTGTCCTGAAGTAACGAATCTTAAAATTTATTCTTGCATTCTCGTGTATCCTCCAGAATTTGAAATTAAAAAACAACAGGTAACAGATTCCCCGTCGTCAGTTTCATGATTATTCAGTAGCGAGATCTATAGTCACCCTTGCGTATGGGGTATACAGTTGGTTTACTAGTCCAGAGCCTTATTAGGAATCTCGGGATACATCAATAAAATAATTACCCGGGGTTTGCTACCGGATAAGTCTCTATTTTCGTAACCCAGAACTTTCTTAGTATCTATATTTTCGTCGGGTATATGGGCTCTGCTGATCAATGACATACTTACCCAAAGTTTCCTACCAGACTGGTTTCAATCCACGCTGAAGAAATGTAGGGTTGTCACCAAAGACATGCATTGCTCTGCTGTGTCCCATGCACACAGCGGTGCTAACAACACCGATGCAGGTCTTGTGAATTTCAGACAGCACACTCCCGACCTCAAGTTTGGACTTGGTCCTCTTATATCATTAGCTTTGAGGTCAACTCTTACGAGTCATAGAAAGCAAAGAAATATTTGAATATGTTATTACAAAAGATACCAACCATTGGCATTACCAGACCGGAACTACCATATATGGACATTCAGTAAAACCGGAGTGATAGTGTCGTGTCCTTTGCCGCAAATGTAAGCATCGACAGTCAAATCTAAAAGACCACGAACTAAATTCAGTCTTTTCAATTTTTTGTATCTTCTGTTCATAAGTTTCATGTTATGGTGATAACAAATTGGAATTATCAAGCAGCTGTTGACCCATTGGATAGGATTAATGTGATATGCTCCTAACTTAGATATGCATAGAAAATGCTGTATGTAAAATAGCGAATATTCTGATATTTTTCTTTTGAAATCTAGACCTGGCAAGTTCTTAGTATTACGTTTTTTAAAAGTAAAAAGGTTAAGATTATATATTCTTACCGAAAAGTAACTATTTTGAACGGATCATTTGAGCTCAACTAGCACAAAGTTCCCGTAGGCTTATGCCGTCCGTCGTCCTTCAATCGTACAGCGTCAGAATTTCAATATCATTTATTTCTTCAGTCTTATACTCTAGGACTTATAGCTCATAAGAAGAAGTAATTTGAACTTTTCGATGTATTTGATCCCTTGACTTTGAATGTGGGCTAATGTCTTTTGTTTGAACAATGTGTGAATGTATGTAGCACAAAGCCAATAATGTTCATTTAAAAACAAATTGTCATTAAAGTAAGATTTAACAATTGAGTACATCTAAGTAAATCAGGGCTAAACTCCCAAATTCAGTGAACTTTATCTACAACACTTCATATCTTATTCTGGTATAAAGTCGATCACAATGCTGAACATATTTTCTTGCAAGTGGCGGAGTCTGGTTGGGCCTTTATTATGTAAAATTGTTCGTTGGCTATGTCTGAATTAAAAGTTGATAATCGTCCATCCAGAAAGTCCATCTTCTCCAGAATAGTTATTGCGAGGGTAAACGTCTTCAGATTCGTCATGGTCTCTGCATCCGGCATGTTCCGTTTTACGCGAACTCATTTCTTGATCTATCACAATACTGTTAAAAAGGCAAATCATAACTACAATTTATGGCTTTGTAGAGATAAAGTTGCGCTGAAACAGCCAGGGAAGCAACTGAAATACCACACTGCTGCCATAGCCATTAGGGAGGACATGATTTGAAAGTGTTTCAAGCTGCTTTTCCTTTAACAAAGGTTGAAAATTGATTTTTCTTTTGTATCGTTTACGGAAACTGCCGACGGTTTCCGATTGTATTTCGACTTCTTACCTGACAAATCGTACATATTCGGGTCTTTCCGACAATCACAGAGGAAACTTTATTTTTGTTTTATTAGCGGTCAAATGTCAAAATATTCTAATGCCAGTTTTGGTGATAACTTCTTAACGGCTGCAAATTAATTTCTATTAAACTTCATAGGTACTTGCATTGTATTATGAATACATTTTATTTTCCTCGATACTCCAGTGTGCTGTCAGACTTATTTTCTACATACACTGAGCGATGACACTTTTGTAATGAAAATGTTTATTTGTTGCGCTTTTCTTTGGAATAAAAGTCTTGTACTTTGATTGGACGTTAAGTAAAAGTGTTATTTATTTAATATTATACAATTATAGAGTTCGGTGATGGTGAATATGATGTAACAGTAATATGAGCCTGAAAAAGTTAAATTGACAGGGGTTAATCAGTTTCATTGTTGAAGTATGATACAATAAAACACTTATGGAATTTGTGATGGTAAATTCCAAAATTGTATAAATTTAACTTTCTTCAAGATTTCCTCAAATGTATATTGTATGACCAGTTATGTAAACTAATTTAGGATAAGCTCAACTGAAATTTCTATATATCTTATCCAGTTAAGTGTCAACGGCATTAAATGACGTTTATTACTTTTATATATAACGATATGAATGATTTTAATTGATTCGCAGTTAGATACCGCCGAAAATAAATATCATATAACCACTGTCACATTACCCTGTGTTCCGTTTCGGTGATAGAATGTCAGAAATTGATTCATGTAATTGATTTAATTTTATCAGTGATCAGCTGAATTAACTTTCACTTAGATAATGTCACAGGGAGATTTCAAGTATTTCGTTGTCAATCAAATGTCGATTACCGCACTCCTTTTGAAATCGACCAATCACGGCCCTTGTTTTAGAATCACTTTATATAGATTTTCGACATTTATTGCACCTAATACATCTGAACGCAAACAAATCCTAACTTTATTGACATGGAGAATTGCTACCTTGGGAACATTGTATCCTACTGCAGATATACCCCGGGTTTCAGAGTGAACCGAACTCAAAACCGTGCTATGGGTATATAGAACACACTTTAGAAGACGTTTTAAAAATTGAAAGAGAAGATTGATTTAATAGGCTTACTAAAAAAATGCACATGGAACGTCCAGATGAAAATCAGTACACATCGAGTGAACTTAGGAGAACACTAACCAAGCACTCTATTGATACAATTCTGAGAAATGAAGACAGATCACACCTGACAGAGGTATATGGAGGTGACGGCATATCTGGTAAGGTTTTTTTTATCATTACAGTACAGGCACTTGGTTTTAGCCAAAAGTTAATGGGAAAAGTGTGTTTGAGTCGTTTTACGTCCGCTTCACTACCAAACAGTTCGGTTATCCAACAGAAGAAAGAACATATGAAAATGAGCAGGCGGTATAAAGATTGTAATGTTGAAGCCGATCAGGTTCCGGGTCGGTCTATTTTTAAAATTTGTTCTTACTTTTTATTTCTGTAAGCTAAACTCAAGTGCCTGTGATTACATTTTACGTTTGAATTTGTTTGTTTTGTTTTACGGTCACCACAAATCATTGAATTTATTTAAAACTGTTTTTTTATATTTTGAAACTGATAGACACTTAACAAACGATTGATGGTGCTCGCTATTTGTAGTTTTGAAACGAATGAAATAAAGTCACAAACCGAGGATGTAAGCAAAGCACTGACATGCTTACATAAAACATACTATTTTTTATTTTAAGACCAAAACAATACAGTTTTCATCACAACCATTCAAAACATGCTAACAGAATACCGTGTTTATATAACCTTGTGGGTTATTTTGTAAATCCATGTAGACATAAATAAGTTATCTTTTTAAAAATGAATCAAGATCGAGTTAAGTTTTATTTTATTTTATATTTGCCCAGTTCTTCATTCTATAGTTTACATGTACCATTTAATGTATGCGTTCAGCGCTATATATGTGTTAGTGGCGTGTGTCTTTTTCAGAAATCATGGGATTTAAAAATAAGGAACACTTGCAATATGTTGGCGGGGCCTTTGTTTTATTTGTATTTGAGAAAACTTCGACAAAGTTTTTACTTTTTTTTGTTAGAGTGGGTGGTGCGAGTGTTTATTTTTAAAAACAAATTACAAATGACAGATTTACCGTTAACTGTTGACAAAACACTCCTTCTTTGATCGACGTTTTATTCTGAAATAATGTTTTCAAGATTTAAAACAGAATACAATGAACGTGTGTTGAATGAAGTAGTCTCACCGTCGCGCGTGACAAGTAGACAAACTGCCCGAGCTTTATTTAACACGCTCAAACATAACACCTGCTACACTATTTAACCGTAATATTTATTTTATTTTTATTAAAAGCTTATTTAGTGTAGCTGGTTACTTTATGTCTGAGGGGGTTGGAAGAATCGATATCGTTTATAATATCGAATGCATGCATCGTTAGAAATATTAATCAAAATATCAACAATTGCGTTGACTTTACTGCATACTTAGTTCACCGCATTTCGTGAAACATTCTTGAATTACAAGAGTGATTAGTTTTGAGTCATTAAAGTCCACAATGGATTATAATATTATAAAATTGTAAATAAATGAAATATTCAATCATTTTTTTCTACACAGAGCACGGCATGCATTATTTTAACATTAAGTATTCATTTTAGAAGGTAAATGTTATGATATTTTATATAAATCTGTCATAAGTTACAATCTCTATACTTTTACAAATTGTGTTGTATTCTTACGTGATATATCAGATTTTGTTTGCAGATTTTGTTAAGTAAACCCTACCACGTATCAAAACTGCCAAACCCCGACAACACGACTTGCTATACTTGTAATGTATATAACGGTTTGTCAGACCCCCGTAGATAAGGCAATTTGCACAGGGCTATCGGCCCGGTCGCAGATATCTATATAACGGATTGGTGCGAAATTTAACCACATTGAGGAGATAGTTCAATATTTTAAAATATGATACAATCTCAGAGATAACATGGGACGAAAACTTGAGATTTGGTCATTATAAATTCAATAAAATATTGAAATCAGCTACATGACTAAATCTTCCGTCAATTTAAAAGAAATATCTTTTTGAAGTTTTATCTCTGAAAATTAAAAGAAGACAATCCTACCTGTGTCTACAACACATGGACCAGGGTCCCCTTTCATCAGTAACTGTTAGTTTCGTACCATTTAACTCTTCAAAAGAACCACTTACTTATAATAGCTTCTTCCCAGCAACGCGAACCGACAGTCATTGTTAAATCATTTCTACCCGAGAAGAACCAGGCTAAACAATTACTTGTTATGAGCTCAGATCAATAAAATAAATCATGGCTAGGTTATTGAGCTGGTTGCAAGGAAAGATATTGCCATTCCGTGACGTCGCGTACAAGATGCCATGTCATTACTTCTGGTTATAAGATGAGACATAAGCTCTACCAGAGATGTTTGAAAACAGTTAGCTTTTGTTACATAGGTGATTTAATTAATCAGAGGTGTTCCGAACATTATATCAGTTCTCTCATTGACGACCTCATGTTTTACAAGGCGAGGACTGATTCATGCCAAGGTAATATTGTCGTTTCGTTGCCTCAAAATGACAATTGACTTGCTCAGTAACGTTTTCTCATCCGGCCGGGCATACAAATCATGTAAGTCAAAACTAGTTTTATTGGTTAAGTTTTTGTTTGGTTATTTGTTTTGTAGTCAAAAACGTTTTTTTCCCAGTCACAACCGGTTTAGTTTGATTTTGTACTCTATATTAAGTGGGGGACTTATTCATTTTTCTTTCTTTCTTTCTTTCTTCTTTCTTTCTTTCTTTCTTCTTCGTTTGTCCTCTCTTGCCTGACGGTGTCCGGATTTCTCTCTCTCTCCGAAACCACTGACGGATACTTATGAAACTTCAAATGAACATTAGTATTCATATATAATTTTGCGTAATACATTTCACTTCGTTCATCAATGATGGCTGCTGTGGCCTCTGGTGATGCTAACGATATTTTACTGATTTTGCTCCAACTTACGTAATGGTCCGTTACAAATAGAACTTGTTGGTTTGATTTTTATCGTAGTTTGACTGTTTTTTTCGGGAGACATCTCTTATCGAGTTTTCCTCATACTTCAAATGCAATGTTGAAGTTTTAAAAATGTACATATATATCATCCGTAATTATTGCTCTGGTTCATGTAGACGTTTGTTGCTTGTGTTTGATTGTGGTGTTTTCATGGGATCACGATTGTTGAAATTATAACAAAAATGTTTCTTTCCTTTTGTGAAATTTTAATAATTTAATTAATTGTGACTTCATACATTTTTAACACTATCGACGGTACTTGCTACTTACAGACACATCGGAGCATTCGACAGAGTTGTCGGCCGAAGAGGACTCGTCACACAGTAGTGGAGAGGAAAGTGACAACAATTCTAACGAGAGGGACAAGGACGATGAACACTGTGACGTCACAGAAACTGCTGACGGTCACATGATACCTGGTAAGTTACCGTACTGGTACACAAAGAAGTTCGTTATATTGGAGTTGCCTTATTTCAGAATGAGAAAACATAAATTGTATGAAGAAAAAATGCATTTCGATTAGTTCACCTTACTCGAAGGACCAAGTGAAGTTAAGCCACGGCGCAGTGTGTGTCATCAATCGTCTGTCTTCAACTTTTCTTTCAAATCACTCCAAGTCTGAGACAGCTGACAGGGTTTCCGAGCCGAGGGGACCCGATGTTGTACGAACGAATGGCATGCTCCCGCCCCCTTTTTCGTTGGGGAGACTAGAGGGCCGGGACCCAATATGGGAAATAACATTGACTCTTTAAAAGTCTACGCCTTCAAAACAAGTGAAAGGATTTCAACGTTATTTCGTCTGGATAATTGTTCAGTGAAAATGGTGAATCTTTAAAATGCTTCTCCTTCAGTACCGGCGAGGAGAATCAAAAATGAATAATAAAACCCCTGGGCCTCTTAAATGCAGTCTGTTGGTGAAGCTAGCTTTACGGTCAGTAAATCATTATAGAAATTGTAAAATTATGGCCAAAGAATTATGCCTAATTGTCAAATTAACAGAAAAGGTAGTCTCTCAGGGAATGTACCAACCTTTTGTAAATAGAACTCTGATTTCAGGACATTTATTTTATACCTAATATTTTTGGGGGAAATGAGATATATGAAAAAATATGGCGACTAGTTTGAAAAATGTGTATGCCATCTGTATTTCAGATGACATGAGAAAGAAGCGACGAATCCGGACGACTTTTTCCGCGGATCAGTTGAAAGCTTTGGAGGAAGTGTTTAGCATTACCCACTACCCAGATGCTAATGCTCGGGAGGATTTATCTGACAAAACGGGTTTACCGGAAGCTAGAGTCCAGGTAGGTGAAGTCCGAAGTCTACAAAACGGGCCTACCGGAAGCTAGAGTCCAAGAAAATGAAGTTAAAATTCTACAAAACCGGAAGGTGTTAAGGTTTACGCAAAGTTGACAAAACAGGTCTACCGGAAGCTTATTTTGTTAGAGTAGAAATGCTGCTTCAAATAGTGGCGTAATCGGCATTGCCTATCTTATGGCAATGCAAACAAGAAATATCTTTAACCTAAAAATGTTTACAACTCTAGGCAGGGTTATCCTGTGACCCGGGAGTGGGGAAACCTACAGTGGTATGGGTGAAACACATATATGACGTACTGCTGTAATTTTGTTCAGGATCTGATGGTATGCTGCCCGTTTGATAACATAATAATACATCACCACTTGGACTCATAACGAGATTGTCCGTGTATGTTACAGATATGGTTCCAGAACCGGAGAGCAAAATGGCGCAAGTACGAGAAGTTGGGGAACTTTGGAGGACTTCAGGATCTCCGGGAAACGAAATATGTTCCGGCCCCACGCGCTTCCATCCGAACAGAAGACTTCCACCAAGGAGCTCCAATACAGGTACTTGGATGAGCCGTTTATATTTCCAATAGATTCTCTAGTTTAACTTGTGAATACCCTTGATTTTGGTTTATAATCACGTCTAAATATTGATAACCTTTAAGTTACTGTATAATGTGTATGTTAAAAAAAAAGTTGATTTTTTTTTTCTCAAATCGATGTGCTATCGCCGATATTGTTTTCGCCAGCAAACTACATATTGAACACATCAAGTTTGGTTTACAAAAGGGAAGTAACTCTTGTCAAAACTGCTTTTCTTAGCAATGGTATTCTATCACGAATATGAACGATGTAAATAATTAAGTACGCATTTTGTGAAGATGATTTGTTTATAACCATCAAAAACGGTGTAAAGAAATACCGGACTGGGCTTTCCGTATCTCCGATTGAACAAATTAAAACAAAGCTTTATCTTGACTAGGATGTACACGTTCTGACTTCAGGCTACCACAGCACAATGTCAACAGGACACCAGGATTGAGGAGTCCGTCACAGATGAAAAAGGTGAACAAACATCACCTCTCAACTTATCCTTATCCCCGTTTCCAGTTTATCGATCATTTCCGGTGTGTCCACTTCCGTATCCGTACACAAGTAGGTACATAAACTTTGGCTTTGTGGAAAATCGACATACCGGAAGTATAGCTGCACTACGACTAAAGGCACGTGAACACGAGGCTGCTATGGAGATGCAGTATATGTATAAGTGAGACCCGCGAAGGGGGAGACAATCCGCAATTAACCTGTTAACACATACAAACAAAAAGGCAAAGCATCACGGGAATATGTCCAAAATGGAACATTTTTTGTAGATATTGATCCTTCTTTCCCAGAACAACTCACTTAAAATACAATCGCTCACCTCAAATAAAAACTGCCCATCTAAAAAAATCGCTCACATCATATACAAACAACTCTAATGACCTCAGAACTGCCATGTAAAATTTTACAGTCAACTATCTTAATTAACAGTTGAGTTCTCGAAATCGAGCATTGTCACTCAAATTTTAAGAAGATTATATTCAAGACCTACTTGAACAATAACATGAAATTGTTCGTTTTAATTTTAGTTTACTCTACATGTATATCAACAGTTGAATGTTGTTGTCACATGGTGTGGAGAGGAAAACAGGGGCGACTACACCACCTAATATTAAACATGTAAGTCACGTGATTACATGTGTCGCAATGCCATATCGTGAAAGAATGACACTAACATAGACTGGTTAGTTAATGACCGTTATTATTTATATATAATCTGTGATAGTTTATGAAAATTCGCAGGACGAATGCTATTTACACCAGTCCCGGGAAGTGTTCAGGTTCGTAGAGTCGAGTAGTCGTTAATGGTGGTCTTCCAGTCAAGGTTTCAGAGGAGCACAGTTTTAGCCAAGCTTAGCAATCTAAGACGGCGATACATTTAATATCTTGATTTGTAGAACATACTAGATGTAAGGAAAACGGGAAGACATTTTATTGAACACAGTTTGTCTTGCTTCTTGTGCTCCAAAATTTAATCTGATGTTAGAAAAACACCAACATCTATTTGGCACCGTCTCGTTATAGTCGGTCCGTATAGACTGTACGATCCTGAACTCAACTTAACTATTTCTATAACCGTGCCCATACTCAGACTCCAGTTTATTCCATGTAACTCGTTGAGGTTTACCAGAGGACGAAGGCGCGAACAATAAGAGAGTAGAACTCGGCTACAAGTAGCGTGAGCATGGGGACGGTTTTATGAATCTGGGGCATGTATTACATGTAATAAACATTTAACATGTTTACTTCCCTTGTAAATAAAGGATGTATTTTTTTTATCAGCTAAAAGTTTTGTTATTATGCGTGTGTTATTGACACCTACAGATCGTACAAAGATCATACAATCTTCCTGTTTTGCTTTTGGATTTATTTTATTTTACTTAGAGACACGGTTTATGGAGACAATCTTACTTCCGTACAGGTGTACATAATTATCATTGATACTGTGTACACGTCATGGTATGTACTCGAACGGCTTTCTGTTGCCTTGTCCTTTATTTTCGCCTTGGAACTGCAAGAGAAAATAAAATACAATACAATTGTAACACAGTAACTGGACTGGTAAATAAAAAGGACGTGACTCTCCGTGTCATATGTGTAAGGTGGAGGCGATACGTTGAATAAAATCTGATACTGACTTATGAGTACTAAGCCAGGACGATGCATTTGACTTTCGATATCAATGTGACCTTGGCCTTGGAAGGATGGGCCTCACAGTACTATGCAACGCTTCTCATTGAGCAAACGGAACAAAAGTCAGGGCACCAATGAATTCGACCATTGAATTCAAAGTGACATTGACCTTGGGCATACGGACCAAAGAGTGGTACGTGCCACACCGCCTTGTCAGCTGGCAGATATCCCTTATACATTTCATTAAAATATCTAAAGAAAGTCAAAAGTTATGGTCCGGACAATGACTTTGACCTGAGACCTTAGCCTTGGGCGCCCGGACCCATCAGTAGTACGTGACACACCGCATATCGCTTACATTTCACTGAGCTGTCTTCAGTCCGACGAAATGGCCAGTACAACATGTCGGAAGGACAGACGGACGAAGCGGCACATTTATGCTCTCCGAATTTTTCAAGAAGCATAAAAAATCAAACTTTAAATATGGAGCTTTGTATTCGTCCAAAGATCACTGGAGGAAAGGGGAATCATCAATGAACAATCCCAGAGTATTATTTTGTATACCAACTCCATTCTCTAAGCAATAAACATAATACCTACCTGGTCAACGATCCAGCGGTTAGCAGCAACCTGTTTCATCTTCCTTATATTTAGCTCATTTTTATTCCGCCAAGAGTGTGGGAACTTAGAAATGTTCATCATATACTGTTGGTTCATCTGGCGAGAAAACGACACTGCATCAATACAACTAAACACGCATTCAGTAAGGATTATATATGTTTTTTTTAAAGAACTATCAAGGCAAGAGCCTGAAGTATTAGACTATATTACTGTTCAGCATGCTCATGTCCCATATATAAAAACCTCGAGCTTTTGAACAAAACAATCGGATAATTTCAGTTCTACTGTCTGATATAATTATTAAGAATTTTTTTATATGATAAAATCATTGTTATTATTTTATCTCAATTCTAAAAGATTTTAAAAACACTGAAGAGAGGTAACTTCCAATGTTATGACAATTGCACAAACAAAAAATGAATACAAAACTGGAAAATATTAGTTGAAAATACTTAATTTTAAAGTTTGAAGTCAAAGCCTGAAAAAAAAGAATAAAACAAAACTACTGGGTTATCTCAAGCAATTGAATATTCATCAAAATACATTGCCAAAAATGTGAGTTATCGCGTTTGGGCAGTTTTTGGTACCGGTCCAATTTGGAAAAAAACACTGGAAAGATATAATCTGATGTTCACTTTAAACAGATCCTGTGAGTAACAACTACATCTCATATTTTGGTCAATATTGAATTATGATTAAAAATGTGTGAGATACGTGTTGTTCCGATGTTCGCCGACAGATGGCGCCCTACCTTCCACTCGTGATGCCACCTGTTGTGATTATAGTGCGGTTCCTTGGAGGTTAGCCGTCTCAGGATGGCCAAGTTCTCATGCGTGATACGCAACAGCTCCCTCTGGCGCTTGGTCTTATTCAAACTGGACAAATGGACAAAAAAGGATTATAATGCAGATAATTTTGATTTTCTAATTTTTAACAAAATTATATCAAAAAATATTTTCTGAAAACGGTGCTTAGGCAGACCTTGTATTGAAATAGATCTTTGTGAGAACAGAATTATCGAACATTTCTTAAAAACTATCCATATATATCGATCGTCTTTCTAAAGAACCATCGCTGCCCTCCTCTATTGAAAACTGTCCGACAGCCGACTCCTTCACGGCTGAACCTTCATCCTATAATATTAAATATTTTATCTATGCCTATCTCCCTTTCTTTTTTATCCAGAACTCAGATATATTCTCCAATACTTGCTGTTCAAAGACAGGAATTTATCCGTGAAAAGATAAAAAATATAGCCTACACGCGCTATGACGTCATGACGCACCTTTCATACGTGACCGTATACACGTCGTTGGAAATAATTCTGTTGTGTTACAGATCTATGTTGCATGAATTATTTTTGACTTGTTAGAGATATTAACTGATATATTGCAGTTATTAGATATTAAAGAATATTGTTAACTTTAAACTTTAATTGTATTTCTAATTTTATGTTCAGGTTTCATAACCCGTATGAAATTAACATAAGTGTATTCATGCCTGCCTGTTATGGAATGCAGCCATATAAACACGAGTCGAGTATTGACACTGGTATGTTTATTTCGAGTATGGGAGAAAAGGAAACAAACATGGGTGTGGTTTGTGGACATGGAAATGCAAACCCTCGGGTAAGAGTTTGGCTGCCTAAAATGCACGCCGAGTGTTTGATAGCCAAACTCTTACCAAGATTCAAGATTTTCAAGATTTTTTTTTATTACGCTCTGACACACAAAGTGTGTAACAAGAGGTCAAACAAAATAACATCAATCAAAATAAAACATGACAGAGAGAGTAGATTACGCATGGAGAGATTAAGCATTATTTCATAGACAGATTCAGCAATATTTCTTAGATAGATTCAGCAATATTTCATACATAGATTCAGCAATATTTCACATTGGTTAATGTACATATGTATCAGATGTATTGTTACAAAGTAACAGTAAGGTTACACATGACAGATTCAACATTATTTTCTTACATGTGCAACAGTAAGTTTACACATAATTATTTCATACATGTGAAACAGTAAGATTACACATCCTCATTTCATACATGTGAAACAGTAGTATTATACAAGGACAGATTTAGCATTATTTCACACATGTAGATTACATGTGAACAGATTCAGCATTAGTTCATGCATGTGACACAGAAGAATATATATGACCAGATTTATCAGCATTAGTCATATATGTATTGGATACTCAATTTTCACAGCAAATTATCTTCACTGCCATAATCATAATGCAAAGGATAGTATTTTTGACATACTGATTTATTTCAATTGTTATTTTTTTTATAATTATATGCAGTTTTACAAGAAATGTACTAACCCTTTTGATTAATTGTTTGTTACATATTTGGAACATTCCTTTCATTTTATCAACATTTGGATTGGTGTAATAATATTTTGGAATAAATTTTTCCCTAATCTGGCGTATGGATTCTTGTTGACATTTAAACAAATAATGAAATTCATCTCCTGTTTCATTTCTATTACAAAAAGTACATTCTCTTTCCTCTCGAGGAATTCCCATCCAACGGCCAGTTTCCAGGGGCAGCGGAAAGTTTGACGAGCGAAATTTGCAAAACACAACACGATCCCTCTTGTTTAATTGAGTTAAGTAATTTTCAAAACCAAAATTAGATTTAAATAATAGATAATTTTGTCCTCTACTACTTTTTTCGATATCGGCATACCACTTTTGAATAAACTGGTCATTAAGCGTTTGTGTTATAATATGTTTAAGTTTTTGTCGTTCTAGAGTAGTCACTTTTTGAGATGTCCAGATATATCTCAACCCTAGATCATTTAGTGTAGTTTTGATAAAATTTAGCCACGTCGAGTGAAATGCGCCCGTTTCGTGCGTTGCATGTATAATATTATATAACTGACTCGATACTTTACCATTTTCTGTTATTAGTTTGTGCCAAAACAAAATCATTCTATTTTTAATAGTATTTTCTAAAGGAAAACGTCCCGATTCTCCGTATACCATATAATTAGGCGTAGATTTCCTTAAATTGAGAACTTTTTTTTATAAATTTCAAGTGTATCGTTTCCAAGAGGGTAATAGTTTCGAATCCCCATATCTCTGACGCGTATAAAAGTATAGGCAATATTAATGTATCAAAAAGTTCAAACTGTAGGTCTACTGGTAAATTGATATTTCTGATTTACCCGAGGGTTGAGATTACCCTGACCACAGACCACAAACATGTAAGATTATATTAATTTTCTAAGCGATGAACTAGGGCAGAAAATGGTAGGATTAGAAAAGACATAAGGTGACAGTATCCAAATCGGATTTTATTCATTTATTGAAACTTCTGAGGATGAACTTTATGATTGTATCAAAGGAGGAATATCGATGGGTGTTCTTACAAACGAAATTAGTACCCGGGACTCACTTGAGATATTTATAGAACGCTCTGAAGTCACCAATCAATGTCAGGATCCAAATCGGATCAAGGCTTGAATGAATATTTGTTGACGACATATTAACATTTCATGTTGAACTTTAGAATGTATATGAGAACAAGTCTTTCTATGGAGTGAATTTATTCCTAGGCCAAATCAGAATGCAAAGTCGTCGCACACGCTATTTTTTTTAAAAACTAAACAAAACATTGACTTTTGAGTTTGAATTAGTAATCATCTGTAAACAAAAAATGGTGCAGGCCAATTTGTTCTTCGGCTACATCAGTGATACAACTGATCTGTCGACACACTTATTGATTTAAACGTGTTTTTTTTTTTTTTTTTTTTTTTTATCAAAATGAGATCCGATTTGGGTACTAATCCGATTTGGGTACTGATCCGATTTGGGTACTAATCCGATTTGGGTCCTGCCTACTTAGTGTTAAGTTTTTGTTCATTTTTCTCTTGTTTGATATTGCAAATTTCAAAATTTATTTCCAAAAGTTGATAAATATTTCAAAATACAGTTTTGGTATCGGTCCATTTTGGGAACATTTACGTTCATGTTTGTGAAAACGTAAATCTTAGGCCCACCTTTTCCTCATGTAGTCCTTGTTTTCGCGGCTATGAACACGACCCCCAGATCTCATGATGTGAGCCATTCTCTCCAAGAGGATCCTGTTGTCTCTCTCTACACTGGCTAATCGCCCCCCTTCCATCTGGTCAAAGGCGGACATGACACGAGTTAAATATAATTGGAGTAAAGAAATGTCAACATAAAACATTTAAATGGTCAATATGCAGTGACGGGCCATAAATCATGCACGTTACGTTATTTTGCCTTTGGATTTAATGCTATTTCACTCTCAAAATGTCCTTACTTCGTTTTACGTTCATTTGATGAATTCTCTGTAGTCTGTAGATCATTTTATATACTATCTACGCATTCTTGAATTTTCATTTTTTTTATAAACTCTTTCTTTTTAATCAGAAATCTATCTGAATAATTTATTTTTCTCATTCGACCTTGACATTTTCTTGATTGCGAGCCATGTAGCGATTGCCCGTCACTGATATAAAACAGAGAACGTACCTGTAACTTTTTCAGCTTGATATGTAAATGCATATACGTCTTTGGGGGTTTGTTATCAATCATAGGTTGGGCTGAAAAGTGAAATGAAAAATATTTTGCATTTCAAACTTTTCCATCTGATCTATAATATTGTAGTCAAAACAGACCAGAATTAGAACACTAAAATATCTATTTATTTATTTATTAGATTGAAATACATGCTGCTTCACGATTCTGAAACAAAACACCATAATTCATCATTTAAATGCATATTTATTTGGTTGTAAGTGTGTATTTTAATAGAATCCATTTCTTCATCGAACCGTCCGTATTCCAAGATGGCGGTCATCGCTAGAGGAGCAGATTGAGAAAATATAAAATTCGGGATTTCTGGACATGAAACGTATATAAAGTTATTTTGTTTGTTTGTAGATTATAAGAAACAACTTGTTACCATGTGCAAACAATTAATTTCTTTCTAGGATCAATACATTTAGTGTAATCAGCTTTTGTTTATTGACTGATCCGCTATAGCCGATGATCCGCTACTGCCGTAACAACTGTACTGTACAATAAACATATTTCTGTATGTATTGAAAATATTACACAAACCTCCAACGACTTTTTTTCTGTGAGTTTTGAAATATTTTTCATCCCAGAGTCTTTTCAAGAAGATGTTGTTTGCTGGTGTTAGCGGCTGGTACGCTCGATGCATGATGACAACGGAAGCAAAATTGTCTCAACGTGAAAATAGGAACAAGAAAACAAAACAGTACAAAATCAAACGAGTCAGAAGTGGCCGACGTGGCGATGTGACGTCATAATACATTTGACGCTGATGTGACGTCATAATACATTTGACGTCATATTTGTGGTCTGTAAGAGTTATCTCCCATAACCTGAACCTGAGTAGGTGATCTTCAAAAACTGTTCAAAATTGATTGATGATTTAAGATTTATGTAACGCCACATCTGCTAATAAATTTTATTCAAATATTATTAAATGAGATAAGATTTTTTTCCTCTGAAAACACAGATATACATGTATCAGGGAAGGGAAAACTTAGGCCTCCCCAATCCTTTTTTTTTCTTTCCGGAGAAAAAACTACACCCTTTCCCGCGTCATCAAATCATCGGTCCCTATTCATGAAACCGTTCTCTTGCTCAATGACGATTGTTTTGCTCAATTCTAATTTTTCATACTGGTTATGAATTAATAAAAAATAAATGTTATGATTTTGAAAGCAACAGAAGCCGAAAAATGATTTCCAACATTTACAAGTTCGAATTATTTTATCATTTGGCATGATTTATGTAAGTTACACGAAAATCAGTTTGAGCACAGAATCTATGCTTGAGCATGAGAAGGGTTTCTTACTTGCCATGGGCCCATGTCTGTTCCACACGTTATAGTCGGGCAAGGACACCAACTTATAACGCCGACTTACACAGGACGAACGACCGACCCCCTGTCAACGTTTGTCTCCACGATAGTGCCCGGCACTTACACAGTGTAATGGTATAGTATTTCTCCAAGGTATAAAGGACACAGTCAGATTTAGCAGTACTTAGTACGGGAGCCAATGGTCGGTGAAATTTGCTCTCATTATTTTATTTATTTGTTTATGTTCAGCTGAATATCTTTTATCCATAGCATCAATATTTCAGAAATAAAAACAAACAAACAAAAAATCATCAAAATAAGGTAAAATCTAATTAACAGAAAATAATGGAATTCCGTTGAAGACAAGCGCTCTGTCGATGCAAGTTGTATCTCTAAAATACGGTATAGCTGTCGTGTTGGCCATACGCGGGGTTCTAAAAATGTAGGTGCTATTCCGATTCACTGTTGGCTGGTTGACCCTTTTTGATATATTCGTAAGAGCCGAACAGTCAAAGCCAACAACAATATTTCTTTCGGGTATTTTTTTGACGATTTAATATTCAAATTATGGAATTGATATTTTTGAAAAGTGGCGAACGAAATCAGTCAATGCAGACCATGAGTGTCCTCATTTTATTTAGCTATGCTTTAGTATCCAATTCCCACGTATTTCTGGATAAATTCATTATCACTATTCTATACATATGAAACAGAAAGATTCGACCTATACTCGAGTTAGGCAGAGTTATTTCCCTTTAAGATTTTCAATCATACATTAAGTTTAGAGAGAGACCACTCGTCACAGTTGTCAGGAATTTTTACTGACGTAGTGAGAATGGCATCGGCAACCTACTCTTGAAATCTAGGTAAAGCAGTTTTTATATGGTCTTAGATTAACGAAAATTTTAAGAACGTGTTTGTCTTTAAAATTTTAAAATTTCAATATTCCTTCTAAATTGACTATTTGCAATACATGTAACTTGTTTCATGAATGTTGTAACTAGACCAGTTATTTTGTTTTCTTCTCTTTACTGCAAACATATAAATGTTCTTTTTAAGATATATAATGATTATATAAGTATATACAATTGCACTTTCGTGTGTTCTCTTATATATATAAGTATAATTAATTATATGTTTGTTGTGTATTTTGCCTTTCTCTGTGGACATTGTAAGAAGAATGTGTTAGGCGAGTTGAATTAAGTTAAGTTTATTTCTGGTTCAGGACTATAAAAGTCCTCTATACCAGACTCTCAAATAAATAAACGAATAAAATACATTTGTCAGATACTTCTATCCGGTGTACATGTACATTAATGTCTATGGTTTGAACGTTGCTTTGTAATTGGAGAAAAGTTATTGGTTTTTCCAGTGATTGTCTAGCTTATTTTTATATTGAATGTATGACTTCAATGCAATTAAGTTTGTTAATGTTATGTATGTTATTTGGTACTTATGTGTATTTAATATGGTATTTTGTAAAGTTAATATGTTCGCATTATTCTATTTATACAATCTTCAAATTGGAGGTAAGAAAGAGAATAATAATAATTATAATCACTGTTCTGATTGAAAAACAGTTTTTTTCTGAGCATATTTATTGATCGTTTAGGGAATATTTATTTTGATGTGTCCACTGTCACTGTGGTTAAGTTGCTTACTGATTTAAATATTCCAAAGCATCAGTTTTAGAAAGTAATGTTGACGAGGAGACATCTTTCGTTGTTCTTGATATTTATTCACAGGTATTATTTTTCATCTTTCCAACTTGAAAAACATAAAAAACACATTCTTTTCCAATAAGTGTTTTAGCTGTATTACTTTCTGCAAATTCTGTAGGGTAAAATTGATAATTAGATCGAGGTAGAAATAATCCACTCCGTGGTCCATTGTCAGGGGTCGAAATTAGGAACTTTATTTCTCTGATACTTCTTTTTTCATTCATTCATTTTATATTTCTTTTTTTTTATTACGAAATTCCCAATTTATTTTGAAATTTACTCGCCATACAATGCTAGCTAGTATGAATGTAAAGCAAATGATACCGAATGGATGTTTCTTCAAAATTATCATTGAAATTTTGATGAGACGGTCTTCGGTTTATCCATCTTCATCTTGATATACAGCAAATATGGTTATCTCCCATTGATAGTTTAGTTCTGGTTTATGAATATAACAATCTTCTCTGCCAGTCTCGCAAATAAATAAATAAAATACATTTACCAAAGGATTATAGTTTTATATTATTCTTAGGTACAGTTAACATCGAATCTTTTGAAATTCAAAAAAATGATCAACTCAATAATATTTTTCCAAGTTTTATTGTGCAAACAACATAAGCAGTACAACGGTGTCTACTCGACCAATGGAAACGCTATATACAAAATCGTAACAACATATAAATAAAATATAGCCAGTTTATCACAGTTTGTAGCACATTAGATGGCAAGTCATTACTCTAAGTACATACACATTCTGTTGAGCAATCATGTGGTTGTAATGTTCAAGTTGTAGATAGACTAATACTGATGTGGTTTACGTCCACAAAGAGGAATTTATCCTCAGCGCATGCGCACATTCTGCTGGATCTATTAGGGATTTCCGACAATAAACGGAAATTCCCGACATTTTTATATGTGCAGCGGTTTTTATATGAAAGCAAACTGTAATTTAATTTGAAATTCAATACACACACCCTTCGTTTAATAATGACAAAAAATAAAGAACATGATAGATTTGGACTGTTCAATATATGTATTTATAATTCAATAAATAAAAGTGTTCAACAGAAACTATAGAGTAAGAAATCAGTTACAAACCTTTTTTATTCACACTTATTACACAACAAAAATAATTTTCATTTAGCACTGAAGAATATCATCACGTTCAGCACTGCTAATGCTAGCTGATTCCCGTGCTGTGCAGCACAGTTAATGATCGTTCTATGTGCTAGCACTACTTACCATCTGTATATAATCTAGCTGATTTGATTTTGATTTCTGCGGTTATTTATTATCTACAATAATTTAAACTACTGAAAAACATAACGATATCTATAAGATAAAACTCGAAATAAGTTATACTGAAATGCAAGTTCGGTTCGGTAAATAACCAAATACTGAACGGTAAAGTATACAAAGGACTCACCAGTTTGCATTACAAACAGTAACGTCTGTTTTCTCCTAGTCCTTTCTTCCTGATATCATTGGGACTATATTAATAGAACAAACTATCACTAACTTGCGCTAACTCAAGCATGCCTAGTAAAATCTTAACTTAAAGACGGCTTCGATGTAATGAGAAGGCGGATCTAGAAGAGGGACAACTCTGAATATGTGTTCTAACTTCCGGTGACTTTTCTTGTTGTGTTCTGTATCATATCAGTGTTAGATACACGGAAAGTCCCTATCTCTAGAAACACACACCCCCTTCTGCTTCAAATCTTCTCTTCAAAAAAGGAAGAAAACGAAATAAAATGAAAAGCAAATCGTATTTGCAAATATAACATGAACAAAAGATTTGTTATGAAACAAGTGAACAATAAAGGATATTAACGATTTTCACAACGTATACCGTGTATAACAAACCGGTCGCATAGACTCATAACGTTTGCGGACTGTTTATATAAAACCTCAAACTTTCGCAAATTTGCGAAACAAACGAATTTGTTTGATATGCATAGACACTGTCATCCAATATCATCTGTCTATTCGTTGAACGTACACTCATAAAATAATCACGATATCCCGTATCGAAAAGAATATTTTGAAGAAAAAAATATAAATATATTTAGACGTGATTTTATAGAGTCTGTATGGCATTACTCCATTGGTAAATTCATTAAAATGTCAGCACTTCTAGATGACCATTTTGAATTTTATTTTCATAGTTAATGGGCGTCTATAGAAACAAATTTGATAAAAGTTCTATTCATTAGCATATTGGCATTTGAAACACCGGTCCGACTTTGGGATCCATAGGGAAGCCTTTGCGCATGCCCATGCAGTAAGCGGTGTCAATCTTGATTGTGTTTTCCTTCACAGATATGTCATGGTCCAGAGTGGCTTTTGTCTTCATCAGACGGCACAAGCTGAGTTCGGAAGCCTTCAGCCTCTCCTTCAGGATCCTGACTGACTCCCTGATCTCGGCGATCTCCCTCTGTAGCCTATCGAATAAAAAACACTCAGTGTCAACGATCTGCGTTGGTAATGTAAACAGTTTCGTGACCAACTCACATGCACTCATACATGTCCATTTTCTGATACATATGTATCCATGCCTTGCTTTTTGTACACATTTTTATGTATACAGATGCCTTGGTAGTCTCGTTCAACCAGACTCTTTTTGTCTGCGCAAGCTACGCCGAACATTGAATTACAATTTATCAAGCGTCTGGTTGAACGAGACTAATGCCTTGGTAATATCTACACATACGGGTATTCATAACATAATTATATGAATGACGTTTTTAACATGTTCATGCTGACGTATACTCACGATCTCATGACGGGGTCATTGCAGAGCTCGACGTTGATACGACGGGTCCTCTCGTCCAGTCTGGTCTGGGCCACCTTCATCGGCATTTCCTTATCCTGGATTGCCTTCCTCAATAACTCAATATTCCTCTCCATGTCGAAGATCTCTTGTAGAGTCTGTAAGATTAAGTCATCGTATAATATTTCAGAAGCAAATTTGTCTTATCCCTTAACTCTCAAAATACTAATACGGGATTTTTGCTGTGGTACCGTGTGTAAAAACGGATACATCCGAGTCCGTATTCTTGACACTATTCTAAAATTGAAATCCGTGCTCATGTCAACTTTCTTTTAACTCGCTTATATCATGTAACAGATGTGATGTTTTATTATTAATTTATTAAAAGAACAAGAAAGTGGACTTGAGCACAGAATCTGAGTTTGAGCATAAGAACGGTTTCAGCAATTCGGGCCCAAAAATGAAACCAAAAAGTTGAAAACAGCTGTTTCGTATGTTTTTCTCTCTCACAAACTATCATGTTCACGCTTTTTAGGTATACCTATAGCTTTTTGTAGTAGTGCTAGGTGTTTTCACAGATCTAACAACTGAAAAGAATTCCTTGAAGGTTAAATAACTGACCAATCCCTAGTTTTGGTCACAGACATCGATATAACTAACAGAATTGCTCCAGTGTGTTTGACGTACCCTCTGTAAGTGAGCCTGGAGCTTGTTCCTAGCATCAGTTGTCTGCCTAGTTCTCGTGTTGAAGGAGTTGTTGACACAGTTGAACTGGTTCCACATGTCATTGGCGCATGCGCGGAGGGTGCTGTCGATTTCTCCTCTTAGGCGCTCTGAGGCAGCCCTCTCCTTCTGAGAACGTGCGATGTTCTCTTGTGTGTACCTCACCCAGGAGTCGGGGATGGTGATGCTATAACCGAAAATAACCACTAGTTAGTAAAAGGAGAGGTATAACCGTATAAAACTATCGAACAAAAACGTAATCTAATTCTGATCTAGCATCAATGCAAACATTCAACAGATGAGAATACTGTAAAGACCTTTGAATTCGCATAGTGTTATTTTCGCCGTTTCGTGCGGTGTAGAATTCGCAGAAAAACAGATAGATACTTTGTGTTTGCAGTTTTTAATGACACTGGATCGAAAAAAGTGACATACTGCTAAGTTTATGCATGTATGCATAGGTCTCCCGTTCAATTGCAATGTGTGATTTACCGAGTCACAATAATAAGATATTTAAAATCGGTGCTCTTTATCTTTTTGGTCTTGAACTAGATCTTACAGTAATGCTTGGAGATGGGAAACTTAGCTGCATTTTCAAACTCGCGCTTGAATCTTTCACTGAAAAGCGCGAAAACAATATTGCCGCAAAAATTAGCCGGTATACAGTAATCTCGTGCAGTAAAATGTCTATTGAGAAATGTAGGTGTGAGGAAAGCACTACATGAATCACATCGAAGAGAATTTCAAAACGGTCATTGGAGTAAAGATAAATGTCGGTGCTTGGAGGAACTCACGTGTTGTCAATGCTCTCGATGCCTGGGTGGTAACCGATACCGGCGGAAGCGTTCCTCAGCTGCTGCATGCGGTCATCAAGACCCTGAGCGTGGTGCTTGTCCTTGGCGTCAATCTCCAGGGTATGCTGGGCCGCACGGTTCATCCTGCATACAGGTAAAGATACCGATTTCAATTTTGTGATATTTTTTATTATTCTAAACTCTCTTTCTTTCATTATAATCATATCAATGGCTATAAATGTATGTATGTTTTCAACATTTACAGACATTTGGATTCTACTCCCGTTTTGCCTTGCATGTCCTCAAGGAAAAGTAAACAATAAATAGTAAATTATGTTGACCGAATTTAAGTGTATTAGGTGTTGTTATCGTCGTATACTGAAATATTTAACGTCCATTTTCTCTCCTCAGATATCAAATATAACTGTTTGTGGCATTTTTTGTAAAATGACTGAACTTCACGAATTTGAGTTACCGTAACAAATGTATATATATGAACAGTCGTTACAAAAGTGCAGTCCTATAAAGTTGGTAAAAGACTCACTTAAGCTGTACGTAGGCCTTGTCCAAAACTCTCTTCATCTTAGACTGGCACTTCTTGATGGAGTCGACTTCCTGTTTAAAATTTAATACAGATTTTACTAAATTGACTTTAAGTTGTTAAACATCCTGTCATGACGCTACTAAAATGTGTCATTGGTACATGGTGTGTTATAAAATTGACCAATTTACCTGTGTTAGCCACCAAAGACATTCATCAGATGCTAGACCAAATTATCTCCCTTGAAAAGCTTATAACATGTAGTTATCTCCCTTATATCGTCCACTGATATCAAAAGTTGATCATGAAGTAACCGTATCGTTAGAGTGATTTTTTAAAATATTTTTTAATATTTTCTTCAGGTTGGTAAGAATGGATTGTTTAAAAGTTGAAACGTCACACATAAAAACGTTACTGGTTGTGCGGTATGAACTTTTGTACAATAACTATTCTAATATTGTCATCAACTTTGACATAGCTTGTTCTCAATACAAAATTTTGTTCCATAATATCAACCCTAAGATATTTACACTTGAATTCAAGACATTCATTATAAAAAAAGAAACAGGTTTTACTTAGAAAGATAGAATGACAAAGTTTTTTTTTTCATTTTTTCCCCCAGTGCGTACCTTGATCAAATGTTTCTCGACATCATCGTGTACGAGGTCGATTCCATGACGTTTCTCCCGGTGCATCAGACACTCCTCTGCGATGTGGAGGGGGTTGGCAGTGTCGGCAAGGGCCTTCTCCAAGGTACGGCGGTACTCCTGGAAACCGACAGTAGGGATACAGTTTTGCCGTAGTTACACAAAAGGGGCTATAGAACACGGACTGGCAAGACGACAGATATGATCTGTGACCGTCAGAAATACAGGGGAAACTGGCGGGACGTATTATACAGGTAGGACCAGTTAAGAAATGTAGGTATAAGATAAAGACCTTGTGTGACATAGGTTATAGTAAGTCGGCATTCTAGAATTTTAAACTGCCACAATCTTTTAAAACAGACGCAAAGATTATAAGTCGAACACTTCTATCTTATCTGATATAGTGGAATTCCTCTATTCAAAATACGGAGGATTCCGAAGTTACGTAAAACAAATTCATTTTCGATTCCTAATGAAAAACCACCAAATCCGACCATTGTATTTCGACATACTTTATCAGAATAGACAGGTTTCACTGTAATACCGAACATTTTTCAATTTTTTTCATTGTAAGCCTTACTAAATATATAAATAAATGCTTTGAAAGCAGCGTGTTAGAACAAAGGAGTCAATAATTGTTTCTTCACTTGATCAATTTTCCAATGTGGTAAGATTGATATTAGATAGGCGAAGTATTACCTTTCCACAAGAAACGGTCATAGCTATCAAATGTTTTACATATATATACGTTAATGGCGATGAAAAAACCAAAACAAGAATAAGTCATATTAGTTACATAAACACGACAAAGAGGATTAATTGGTGGCCTTAATCACCATCACTCAAGATCATTGTCTATCCAATCGCTATAATAAGAGGTTATACAACGGCTGTTCAGCGCCCTTTGTCGATGGCACAGGACGTAGTTGGCAATTTTATACAAAAAACGTAATTCCAAGGATAAGTTGTTCAAGGAAGTTTGCATTATGAAAAGTCCGTTTGCTCAATTTTAGAAGTGATAATTATTTTGCTAGGTCTAATTTTGGTGGGAAAACATTGACAAAAACAATAAAGGGAATGAGAAATACACGAAAACGTAAGGTTTAAGGGTAGCACATTGTTTTTAAAACAGGTGGACGGAGCAGCATCAAGTAGATGTGTAGATGTTGGGGTCGATATGAGCTGCAAGGGATAGGGCTGACCAACCCTTGGTTCCGTTCCCCGTGCAATATGGTATCTTCACGTAGGAGGTCTTAAGTTTTTCATTCAAATATTTCCTCATAAACATTTATAACTTTAGTGGCCCTGACATACAGATACTAAATTGATGAGAAAGTGAAAATGTAGTTTATACAGATGTGCAGGTGAAAACTTATACCGTGTTTATATTCAAGTGAATATAATTTTTATATACTCATCAATCACTTGTAATCTATCACGGGTACCTTTATGTGCAGGTGAGCAGATACAATTTACCGAAAAATGCAGGTGCGTATATTAATATACTGGTAAGTTACCTTGAGATTGTCGGTCTCTGTAGCCATGGCGTTTATCTCATTGTTAAGTTCGCTTTTCCAGAAAGCAATGTCATAGACTCGCTCGCCTGGGGAAAGAAAGCAAGCGCCCAAAAATGCATATTGTTATTTCGCACCATGTTGACCTTTGCCCAGTTATTCAAATTTGTGCTGCAAGTTATTGCCAATTTTGTTTTCATTTATATATATATATATTTGATAACTATTTTCACAAACGAAATTCATATAATTTCATATTTTCAAATGAAAATGTAATTATGTGAATGTTTAGTTAATTCTATTTATTTGCAAACACAATTTTTGAATGACTGGACTCATTAATATATTAGGATGATAAATAAAACACACAACAAAAATATTAATACATATTATAATCCTTCTCTACCACAGAAACTCGCATGCAACTCAAATGGATTAGCTACACCACCTCGAGTTAGCGGTTGAACCAATGTACCTTGAGATTTTGCGTTTCATTTGCAACTATCCCTATTTCCATGTTGATTTCGCTCTTCAAGAAAGCGATGTCCGTTACTCTCTCACCTGAAAATTTGGATTCAAAATATACGAAACGGAATGGAAGATCTGAAAATATTACTAGTAAGTATTTACTTAGTTTGGCTTCCACGTTCCCTTTCTTAGTATTTCTAATCATTGTCCCAAACCTTGATGGTGTCCTCTTGATATATATAGAAAAAAAGGATCTAAAGACCGTCTAGAATATTTCAAAAGGACAACATTGTGACCTCACAGTTACATGTCATCACAATACAGTAGTAGCGTGACGTCACAATGTACACAATATTGGTAAACAAACTTGCGCAAAAAATTGAGACTTGTTTTCAATATTTTGTTAACTGGATAATTGGAGAACCCCGATAATTCCAACTCGAAAGAACAGATGTGCGTTGACATCATGTTTACCTTTTCTTCCATTCCTATATGTTTGACCGTATATTGTGTGCTTAACTCATTCACCCCTAAAGACATTTGAACTCTTCCAGTTCAAAGGTTGGAATAGTTCATAATGAAATTTCCGGGGTGTATTAGTTAATACATAGGCCAAAACTGTCCCTTTCTTTTTTGAAATATGATTGTTTATAATTGCCATTTACTGATTCCTGATGATCTCTACATGTGGTATATAAAATCTATGACCAACACCACTTTAAGCACCCTATTGATGTTTTCTCAATCTCGACGCTTTCTCCTCGCTTACCCAATTTCTTGGTGATATCATTCTGCCTGTTTCGCGTGCGGGCGTCCGTCTCTTTGACGGCCCTCCAGGCATCAGCTCTGAGGCGCTCGGCGAAAGATCGCTCCTTGTCAGACATGGAATAGTTCATGCTGTTGGACAATCCCCAGTCGTTGGTGGTGTAACGGGAATACAGGGCATTCCTAGACGACAACAATCCACACACATATATAATATAGTCATTCATGGATGACAAAGATATTCTTGAAAGTGTCAGGTACAGAAACCAAGAATGAAGTTCTTGGACCCCATGCATACACGTTTTAATCCACTTACTAACATTCTTAGAAGGAAAAAATACATCCATTTGTGTACACTATGCTTGTGCTAGTCTTTATATATAGAGAGATATATATATTCCGATAAAATACATAAATGAATTATAAGTTCCAAAGACATTAATTGCAGGTGCATAGAAGTATACTTTTTATGTAAATTCCTGTGTAATGAGACAGAACTGAACATTGCAATTAAGAACATATCGCTTTTTACATTTTTTTTTTACCTGGCTGGGTTGTAGTATGTGGCAGCATGTCCAAGATCCATAGATTTGCCGGCGTATCCAAGGTGACGGGATATGGTCTTGTCGTTGACATATGGCAACATTTTTGACATTTCTGCTCCCGGTGTGACACTGCGGGTGCGCAGAATGGCGCCATTGTCGAAGTAAGGAGTATTCATTCTGCGGAACAAAGGGACATAGTCGAGGTAAAGAAGATAATATCAATCGCAAAAATAAATTCAGAATCAGAAAGCAGTTCGATTTCCAAAATATCCAAACATTTTAAAATTGAGACATGTCTTTTCTGTCCTCTGAAATATATTGTGTGTCCCTAACATGAGCTATTAGTTCTGAAGTTCAGTGTTTTTGTTTGTTTTTGTTTTGTTTGCTTACCTTTCAAAATGCATGCTACTTCAACAAAGTTAAGAACTTTTTGTTAAGCTAACTAGACTTTGTAGATTGCGGGCAGCTAATTACAGTTGATATGTGTTATTAAGGCACTAAAAGACTTGTTAGCTTATATCTGATTTATTATACTTCATGACAACATTATCGATCATGAACAAACCAGGGTGACGTTAAGGTTTGCTTTTAGTAAGGTTACGCATTGACCCCTTGTTATGTCTAAATCGTACAACGTTAAAATATTCCTTTTAGTTAAGATATACATAGTGTATACATTTCTGTATAAGGAACCCTGTCGTTTGTTTGACCACGGAGTTGTTTAAACAAACACTATTGATCGACCTGATCAACCACTCAAGTAAATCACGATCTTTTTCGTTTAAGTTTAAATTCAGAGTATATAGACGTGACAGGTCTTAAATCTGGAACGCACACCCTGGATAACAAACGTAATTCTACTTGAGAGCTAATGTAATGTTCCAAATGGTCCTCCGGGGTTCAATTGTCAAACAGTCATTATATAATTGTAGAAGACCTAGTGTCATGTTTTGACTGGAAAGCAGACACTGTTTAAACCTACCGATATCTGGTATTACTAAATGGAATCTTCCATGTCAGTATTTACACAGCACAGTGGTTAAATGCTCGAGAGAGACATGTCCTAGATTTTGATATGAAAATGTTGTATATACATTTTTTGCCTTGTACCTGATATGACATTTTCTTCCCCGTTAACATATTTAAACATGGGTGCTCTAGCTGTTTAGTTACTTTACATTATCATTAATGTTCTAGCTGTTTAAACGCTTGTATTCTAGATGCAGTTAGCCAAACAAATGATATTGCCACCCCAAATCTCCCAACATGTTAACATATCACGTTGTTTTATTGTGTATAATGTTTTTAATGTGTAAATTTATGCGTATTTGATGCAATAAAAGTTGAGCATTTTATTTTCTGCAAAAGTCTATGCACTATTCAGTTTATTATTTTATTAGAAACCGAGGAATTTTTGTTATTCATTCATAATACACAAAGATTTAACAATAAAATCACCACATTGTTTGCATTGCATACCATATACGGCATAGTTACACAGAGGTATGGCTAAGTGAACAGAAGTAAATAGTGTTACATATGTGTATAACTTTACAAAGGTGTGATAAATGACTGTTAAATGTAGTTTCCTGTTACAAAGTAAACAACCTTTTAATACAAAATGCCGTCACTGTTGACCTTTAATTCCAAACTTGTTTCGAATCGCCTAGCTACCATGTAGGTTCGGAATTATGTTTCTCCGTCGATATCACGCTTTAGAGATTAAAAGTGTTGATAATTAAAAACTATGGTAGTTTGCTATCTTTTATTATTCTCGCGATTGTGCAAAGGTGTGGTATTACAAAGCTATATTGCAAATCATAACTAAAATATTGATCCCCAAAGGAATTGAAGAGAAATTTATCTTACATGTTTGCCTTTTTTATCACTGTACGTAGTTGTTTTATTTTAGTTGTTTATTTATTTCAATAATGAAGGAAATCTCAAATATTTCTGGTCTTGTTTTGGTGTGAATAAGCATGTCACTAATTGTATTGTGTTAGTTTCTGTACAGTTGAGGAAATCAATACCAATAAACGTATTAACAGCGAACATTGTTTTGTTGTGACTAGGTAAAAAAGAGAATAGTTCACATTAGTTCGTCGAAAAAGGCAATTTGAGAGCATGGTCAAATGAGGTATACTGTTAAGCTGTTGTGAATTTAACATAGTTAGGATGAAATAAAATCTTAGCATTCGTTATGTATCTGATAAGAATTTGAACACGAGTTGTCGTTATTACTATGAAGGAAAAAGAGCATGATAACAAGATGAAGCGAAAGTCTTAGAGGAAACGTTGGCGATAGTTTGCCTATTGTGGTATGTGTTCGTGGTTGTCATAATTTACTGTATCTCCAATGGTTATCGCACATCAGTGTGACAGTAGAGTACAATTAATGTATTTGTAAGATACAGCAGTCAGTCAGTGATACAGAATATACCATTAAGTACATTTGTAAGATACAACAGTCAGTCAGGGATAAAGGCTAAAACAATTAATGTATTTGTATGTCACATGAAAGTATGACAGATTGTAACGATTGGTGTATCAGTGTACCTAATATAGGAGATACGATATTGATTGTCTATAAATCATCATATTGTGATCATTCCTGAAGCACATATACCATTATTTGATTATGATAACCTGAAATGTATCCTGTATCATCAGCACAATGACGTTTACCACTTATCACTTTCATACTGCTTCAAAAAGAACAAAATACTTTTAATCGAATGTCATTCTCTTTCAAAAATTCAGCTTGGAATTCGATATTAAACCGATATATCGTATGTCATGTAAATAATATATACATTCATGTTAGTGAAATAGCGACCTTAAGTAGGTAATTTAGTCATGTGCATCGAATTGTCACATATGGGGATAGTTTATGGGCAGTCAACGTAGCTGTGATGTGTGTTCTACACGAATGGTAGTAGTTATTCCTGGTAATTAGGAATGGACCATCCTCATCTGTCTGACTATCTTTAATTAGATTGATGCTATAAATTCATTAGCAAGTTGTTAACTCAAATACCAAATCTCATAAAACGATTTTTTGGGAAATGTCATAATACATGTATTCCATTAAAACCATGTATGAATGCAATTTTACTTTTGGACTTCAATTATTAAAAATATAAAAGTTAAGGTTGTTTCTCTGTAATCTAACAAGGCTTTATTCCTGTAGGTCAGAGAGGACATCCTGTCTATGAGTTCTGCAGAATCATCGAAATGAATCCTATTTGTACAAATTATGCATGTTTTTCTGGGTTCAAGTCATTTAAACAAACAAATAAGCTCAGTGGTATGTCCGATTTCATGCCCAGTAGAGTGAAACTATGGGCAATAGGAAAAAGCGAAAAAAATATACAATTTTCATTGGAATAATGAAATGACAATTTAAAAATTCATAGGGTACATTGTCGTTATACATGCATAGTAAATTATATATCCTCCAGGGACAACCCGGTGAGAATCGAGTAAGGTCTAATTGCCTCAGTGTATAGAACACCACGACAGGATATTCATATAGGAAAACGCCGTCTGGTTGAAAGGCAAGCACAACATGGAATGAAATTAATGTTCTAGCTTTGTCACACAACATTCACAGTAATTATAACATATATATATTTACTATATATACTAGTACATGTATATGGGGCAAAGAACTAATTCCAACAGTGTGGACAAGTTTAGGTTGTCAAATTTTCGGAGCGATCCGCTCCTTTTATCAAGACACAGTGAAACAGAACTTTGACCCATACTAGTACATGTATATATATCATCAGTCAGATAATCACATATTCACCTATGTGAATATATCATATATCCCTTATTTCCGTCTATCATTAAATGCGCTGTGGATGACGCATGTTGCAACACCAATGTAACTTTTAATTTGTTGAAGCCTTTGATACAAAAGGACAGACTAGTTTGTAAATGATGACACAGCAAAGCTCTTTTCTGTCTCAACACATGTATAAACATGATATTGTACGTTGACTTGCTTCACTGGGATTGATAGTTAAAGAAAATGAATATTATGCTAATTTGTTTTCTTCGATGTGTTTTACTTCTGTATTTATTGCACAAATTTGCTTTTAAAACTGAATTATGGCATTTTGATGATTTTGTTTTCACACTTGTGAATTGGTGTTAGCTTATGAAACATATACTAAGGTAATATTGAAAGAAAGCTTCGTTAATTGTCCTGTCAGAATGAAGATATGGTAAATTCATACCTTTAACATGTGGTGACACATGTACGTCGGTGTTGAATACAACTGTAAATTATACATTAGGTTCAATGAAAATGTAATATGGATACTGGTATGACAGGACTTGAATCAGTTTGTCGAGTTCTTAACGTTTCGGAAAAAAATATTCTTAACCTTTAGCCTAGAGTACAAAAAGAGATTACATCATGTTAAAATAATTCTCAGATATATTATTTCCATTTTCTTTTCATTTCTAAAGATGACTCTTTTTGAGGTGTATATATTATTCTGTAAAGAAATCTTTGAATGTCCATGTTAAGTTTTCTTTTCATTTCAAAAAATTGAGATCCACCGAAAGGTGTATAATCCTATGTATTTTAAAGTAAGTAGTTGAATAGAACACAGTAGGACCTAACAGACTCAAGTCTGAAGTTTTACACTATTTCAACTCTAGCCTACATTTTTTCACAGAACAGATCGTAAATTGATGATTATAAAGATATCCCCCCACAAATGATGGTTAATATACAAATAGCAAGCATGATGACAGTGTTTCACACAATAATTTAAATATAATGATATTTGTACTTACCGACTCATGGTTATTTGTCCTGTTCACTTGAGAATTGAACACACGGCCTCACCATGAAATAATGTCGTAAAACAATCAGCAGACTAGTTTACGGCAGAACGCTGTTACTATAGAGATGTACCTGGCAACCTGTCACGTGCCTCTCCTCACCATCCACAAAGCCTGTAATGTAAAAACCACGTTGTATATCTAATAGATGTAATGAATAATGAATAGCACAAGAAGATACTGCCGCTCCGACCTACCGTTCATACACTGACTGCCACCCGATGTTTCTGTGCAAACACAGTCGTTAGTTACTAGGGTTTAGACTTAAGCTTCACTAAGACTAAGACGAGTTTAGTTTGGCTGTGTATATCAATGCATTTGTGATTATTATTTGAACAATCCTCTGAAATGGAAAGCGCTATTGTATGACGTAAGCTACTACAGAGAGATTTGTTAGCAGTTCTTAGGTGTATTGGGGTAGCATTAATCGGTTTAATTGAGCAGACTGGATATGGTATCGTTAAAAGCCGACTGCAGTTGGCAGTGCGAGGGCAGTCATGCGATAACAACGAATCCAGTAATGGAAAAACGTCATTATTTTCACAATGTAAAGTATCAGCTTTAAGAAAGTTACTTATTCATTGATTGAATAGTGTATTAATAATAATCATGATAGGTTTTAGCACACTTATTTCAGTTAGATATTTAAATATCAAAGAACTTAATTGAACCTATTTGAAATTGTGTAAAGAATAATGGAAGTACTAATCAATTAAAAGCAAATATTTAAACATATTGATTTTTATAATCGAGATTTTGTCACCCAGTTGATATAACTATCATATGGTGTTCCATTATCAGAGGTTTATACAGACACGTTGGTCGGGGTTTTGTCGAGAGTGCCTCAAGATTGTGAGGTAAATATTTAGTTGTTTACCCAAAGCAAACAGTTAAGCGGAAATAACAAACCGCTAATGTAAAGATTATTATAAAATGAGCAATGAACTGTATTAAACTTCATATATATTTATTGATGGTATTGTATCTGAACTGTATCATGTAAAAATGTATAAATCATCTTAATTTATATGCAGGTGTATTATTCTTACAATAGCTGAACAATTACGGATTGTAGTTTAAACAAAGTTCATGGTAGGACCAAGTTTTCCCATCTTATAAAAGTCCTTTTCTTCAATATGCACGCACATAAACAGCACTTGATAAGGAACCTACACTATAGATGCTAATTTTATTATTTAATGATATTTTTAATGTATTTGAAGTAAGGTAAATGTTACTCAAGACAATGCATCTTCATACATGTAATACTGTTTCCCATGTCTGAATATTATTACATTATATATTAATAAATCACAAATAGAACAAGTTGGATACGTGTTAACAAATATATTGATGTGGTGTAACCAAAGACTCCTACTCTTAATTGGCATTCTCTAGAGTTCACGGAATAAAGAATGATCCTCTTATGTTTTGTTGAAGCGCGATATGGAACCATTGCCAAAGGTCGTTTCCTACAGACACTATACTTAATGCACCTAAGTGCACGAATGGTATAAAACTAATCATCGATATCATGGCTCTTAAGGGCAATGTACGACAGAAGGCAAGGGAAAGTTAACTTTATTTGTAAAGTAAGTAGAAAAAATGTACCAACGTGTCCATGCAGAAACCATATATCAGATTCGTAAGCGGAAGGGAAATCATATTGGCAAACATATATTGAACTAATACATTAAACTGCTGTGAGAAATGTAATTTAAATGATATAAAGATTAGAGATGATTACATATTGATGAGTAAGTGAGGAAAAACACTTTTTAGGATACGACACTAATTGTAAATTTGTTAAACCTAAGCAGATAAAAATACGAAACGAACTCAATGCCGTCTTTGTGATAGATTAATGCTATTGAATCGTACATTGTATTGAAATATTGCTAGAGTAGTGAATGTCCGGTTGACCCAACAGACCATGGACCGATACCACCCTCTGGCCTAGTAACTGTACTCAACTTAAAGACATATTGTAAAAGTTTCATGAACAATACGCTCATTTTATAGTTCTAGTTCAATGTCAACAATGAACAATGTACGTGTGGTTTGGTTTAATTGAGCTGTGTCCTATAGTGCATTTTGAAGCCATTCATAAGGATTGGTGTTAAAAGAAGTCGACAGTGCGTTGCATATTAAAAATAGAAATGAAAGAGAAAACAAACACCACAATGTTTACAGTTTTATCTCAATTGAAAACCCGATCAGGCGGATAAGGTTTAGAAGGCATGTTAAGTTACATAAATAGGACATTACTCAGTAAAGATGGTCTAAACCAAAGTACACCTCACCAGGTAACCCCCTACCTAGAGTGCAGGTCTGGCAGGGGACATTTCCTGTAGTACACGTCATAAAGTCGACGGTGGACTGTAGGCCTGGCTGACAATGGGTCTGTCTTATACTACAAGTCACTTAGTCATAGGAAAATTTACAGGGTAAATTGACGTGGGGTCTGTCCTGTAGTAGATGTCACTAGGTTATCTAAGAGTGGCAGACACCCTGGTGATGAGGACCGGATTATGTGAACAAAGGGATTATGTGAACAAAGGGAACAGTGTAACTAAACTTTGTGGAATTTTCTGTTATTTTTTCCTTTTTTTTTGCAATTGAGAAAATCTCGAAAATCTTATGTAAGCATGATTCATGCTAATTTTATATATAAGTGTAATTCACAACGTCATACCAAAATTATTCATTAATCAAACAATCCATTTATTCATGAATTTAATAAATACAATTACAATGTACAATGCAGTACAGTAGAGTACAAAGAAACCAACTTTATGATAACATTAAAAGTTTTTAGCAACAATATTTCTGCATAATGAATAAGACTTCGAATCTATGATTAAGTTATATACATTAATTGTCTTCTTTTTTATTTACATTTTTCCTGAATAAGCTCAATTTCCGTGTCAATTCGCTATTCATTCATCATTTATCATAATATTTTTAAATTAATAATATTTTCATTAATTTGATATGCAATTTAGTAATTTCCGTTTTACCTGATGGGTGATCAATACATCATACAATACGTCTGACTAGGGGTGCGTGTCTGGGGCAATTATGTAGAGGAAATTTGATCGGGTTCTAAATATTTTAAATTATTCAGGAGCAGTCTTATACACTTCTTGCATGTTTAGTTATAGAAATAAATAAATGGGTCTTTACACCTGGTCATGGCCATCATTTTAAGAGAGGCCTGATGACACGTACCGTATACCGAGAACAAGAACGCGCAGTTGTTTTGTTTGGGTAAGATTAAATACAAGATAGCTATTGAAAAGCGTCCGAATTAAGCAGGTTGTTTAATCCCGGATTTATAATGTAAAACCTAACATTTTTCGATGTATGTTAGTATTTATAAGTATGTAGTGTGGGGAAGATACTAATTTAAACACTACGTCATTGTCAAAACGAGCATATTTTAAGAATCCCCGTACCACTGTCAAGAAACCGTAACTATGCATAGGAAATGTTTGGCTTGCATGATATGTCTTTAAAAACTACGACGGGACCAGATCATTATTATAATCCCGGACCTTACATCATTAAATTGTCGCTGTAGTCAACCTAGATGTTTTATAAACGGAAGTACCATGGTTCAATCGCTCTACATTTATGTCCATAACGAAATTAAATTCTATTTATTTTCGTCATATTAAATATCGATAAAATCAAGCTTGTTCGTGAGCGTACTAACTGTACCAGTCAATCCTCTATCGAGGCCGTGTTTGCACTCAGTGTGCTCATATAGGTTTGAAAGCGAACAATCGTTGAACGTTCTCAATTTGCTTTTAATGTACAATTTACAAAACAAATGCCTGGTTGACTAAAATACATTTCGCACAACTTCTCAAAACAGTTTGTAACGAGATGTATTCTGCTGAAGCTTAGCAATCAAGCTTAACTTGTTTCATATTGCATACGAGAAATTGCTTATTAAAGCATGTTTCAATGGCGCGATATACATGGTGCATTTGAGCGATTCATCATGTTGTATAAATTGCGGTCACCGCTGATTTTATGGCTGGTTAAATCACACTTGTTTTCTCGTTATAAACACATAGCTCAGAAATTACAACCCATGGATATCAATCACGTGACAAGGTAACGTCATCGGGCCAATAACATACGGGCAATATAGAATACATCTTATTTTTATGTTTTCTGCTACTTGAAAAGTCCACATTTTCATAGGGTAATCAATATTGCTTTCACCTGGGTGCTTTTCATGAGTAATGGATCTAAAAACATGTTTGGATAATGTAACTGGACAAGTCTAGAAAACGTCAAAAATATGTCAGCATACAGGATTAAGTGTAAATACCCCGTAAACTTACATATCAATAACACATTTACATTTCAGTATTACGATAGCTGGACAATAACTCGATTCCAGAGAATCTCCAAAACAGAACAGTTATGAATCGTCAAGAGCTTCAGTAAGGCAGCAATTCCTAATGGTAAATACATATATGCAAGTCACTATCTGAAATAGGTTACAATAAGAACGCTATTTCCATTTGAATAAACAGACGTCCAATTACAAAGGTAAATACAATTGTGTACCATGTGTTTGAATAACACTGCCTAAAGGAATATCACGGACGATCTCTTATCACAATACATAGTCGTATGTCTATCACTGTATATTATCGCGTGTACTAAGCATGAAAATACTTTAATCATGTAAACGACCTTTGAACCAAACATTGAATAATAACAATGAAAAAGTCCATTTATGTTTATTATCGAAACGATATGCGAGTAAAGACATTAATCTTGACTAAAGTTTTTCAATTAAATTTCTTACCAAATGTTTTAATTTCAATAATTTCAAATGTTATGAAAATGAGGTCGACCGGTATCGATCAGTTAAGAAGGGATTGTACACCTTTTAAATGCAATATTGGTAATCTACATGGTTAACTACGGATTCCAACAGTATACCCGAAATTAGGTATGATGTAACCCATGCAGTGGGTCAATATACAAACACTTAACTTACACACTTTTAATTCCCTATTACAAAGTTACAAATGCATGTTTTTCCTCATAAAAATTAGTTTTCGTAGTTTTGAACTAATTATACACATACCTAGTTATATTTTTTAAACCTGCAGTGGTTACCAAGTGATATCATGGAATTGGCCCAGGGAACACACACACACGTGCTAACTATTCATTATTAATCCTATAATCTAGACAATAGATTAATCCGGTACGAAGTGCAAGCTGCATACTATGTCTACGTGTATATATTGCAATTAGCATGACCGAACGC